AAGCTTGAGGTTGCTGGAAGCTATAATGCCTCAGCATTCTACTGACAGCGACATAGTGAGACTGTCACAAAAAGAAAAAAAACAAAGGCCTGAGAATCGGAAATCTAACCAGCCAAAAAGGCCCTTTGACAGCACTCCTTCAGGGACTTGGGTAATCTTAAGATTTTATTTTATTTATTTAAGTTTTTGACCTTTATTTCTGATCTTTTCTATTTTACAGGAGAGGTAAGTAACCAAATAATCTTAAGATTTTAAAAGCTTCCAATTCAACCTTGTTGTGGGTTTTTACCCAAGTGCAGATGAGCTATTCATGACAAATACAACCTTGTGCAGTGAGGAATAATCTACTGTGATGTGATTATTTATCTAGGGTTACATGAAGAAGGGAATCTAAAGATCTCTGTTGGGCAATTCTACTAACAGTAAGAGAAAGATTTCTAATCATATATTCATTCCAAGCACTACCAAACCCCAGCCAGGATCCTAATATTCTCCCAAATCATCCCATTCACTGGGGTTGACCCCTCTCATTAAATCGCATCCTTGAGAGCATGTATAGTTGTCATCTTCATAGTCTAAGGTGTTGCCAAGAGGGTACTCATCGGTAATAGAAAGGGCCCTTCTATGTCTAGAGTATGAGCCGGGCTGGGGGCTATGGTTTCTTTGTACGATGGCAATGGTCATAGTTAAATATCCCAAAAGGCGGACATCTCCTGTTTACCAGCTGTCAAGACATTTATTTGTAGGACCTGGGGTTGTATCAGGCCTCACAGACAAAAGATAATGTGGGGGGGGGGCACACCTAAGTCCAGATAGATTCCTAAAATATAAGGATTCATTCTGAGGTATGTTTTGGAGAAAGGGATTGAAGCAGAGATCGCAAAGATGAAGATGGAGGAGAAACTGGTGTTGCAAACGGGAAGCTCAGTGGATACTCCTTGGAAACAGAAGTTATCAGTCTTAGGATACTGGCAGAGTGGTTTTTGGAAGGAGGGGTCATTTCAATGGTAACATACTTTTGCAGACAGGCAAGAAATGAAGGGATGGGGAAAAAGGCAGTGTTACTGAAGCTGGTAAAGACGGGGCTGCTGTGAGACAGGGTTTAGACTTGGTGGCCGCAGGCTGAAGACGAGTTAGACCCTGATCCAGTGATCTGAATGATGATTTTAGTGGATGGGTGCAGGCGATTAGAAGAAAAATGAGACAGAAGGCCAAGGGGTAAGGACTAACAGTGGATATATGGTATCCAGGGATTCTTGACTAACAGCAAAGTTAGGAACTGCTGGAAAACTAGCCTGGGATGATTATGGACTGTTAGTTAATTCTTGCAAAGAAAATAGCAGGATAGTGGTAGCAGATCTAACATCATGACAGGTTTTCTGATGAAACTGAGGACTGAAAGATTTGGACAATGTTTCTCCCTCAGTGAAGGCAACTAGGTAAGACAGTCGACTTTGAAGAGGAGAAAGAATAATGAAGATGATAAAAATTTGGGTTTTAGGGCTCAAGGTGAGATAAAGGTCCATCCCATAGGGAGCTAATGATTCAAGTAGGAATCAAAGTATAATTTCTACATCACATGGAGCCATCTTTGATCAGATTTAGTATGAATAATAGGCTGGGAGGTGCCTGTGGCTCAGTGAGTGGAGCGCCAGCCTCATTATACCAAGGGTGGTGGGTTCAAACCTGGCCCTGGCCAAACTGCAACAACAACAAAAAAAATATTAATAGGAAGGAGTCTGGTGGAATTTGGTGATTCAGCTAACATAGGGGACCACAGTGGCTAACAGGGTAAGAGTGAAGAGGTGATTATGCTGTACTAACCTGCTCTAGACTCTTGGGAATAGCTGACTATCTCAGATATCTTCTTTTGTCCTGGTGATTGTACTCTAGTCAATTAAGTTTTGTATCAGTGACAGGTTGGGAGGTTTTTTAAAATGAAGAAATATGAATCCAGCTCTTTCAAGTTTAACTGCATAATGATTAGTCAACAGTATTTGATAAGGTCCTTTCCAACAAGGCTTGAGAGAATCCATTAGCTGGTGTTTTTTTTTTTTTTTCTTTTTTTTTGAGACAAAGTCTCACTATGTCACACTCTGTAGAGTGCCATGGCATCCAGCTCAAAGCAGCCTCCTGAGTAGCTGGGACTACTAGCCACAGTGCCTGGATATTTTTTGGTTAGAGTTGTCATTGTTGTTCAGCAGGCCCAGGCCCAGGCCAGGCTTGAACCTGCTAGCCTCAGTGTACATGGCTGGTGCCCCTACTCACTGAACTATGGGCACTGAGCCTGGTGTCTTTTAAAAATAAACTCTCCTGCCTAGAGACTATGATATTTTAGATTATCCTATCCTGGAAGCACACTGTAAAGAGAGTCTTTTATCAATTTTGTTTCTTTGGAAGAGATGTTTAGTTAAGCCTTGACAGTAATAGAATATATCTTTCAACAAGGTTGGTTCACACAACCTTCTATCCAATCTCATAAGCCAACTGGTCCTTATCTCATAGCAGATAACTGATATTTTCCAAAAGAAGTTGCTCTTAGCTTAACCAGAACCAATGGAAGGAAAACAAACCAACAAACAAAATAAAAAAAACAATGGCAGAGCCTTAGATCAAAGAATCCAGAGGACTGGGGATTGTATGCACAATGGAAATGTTGGAATATGGGCCAGATTTTACAAATTGAGCGGACCAGATCTTCCATAACATGAGTTCCCTTACTGCTATGTAATTTGGAAGGAATACCACAAGAGGGAATTACCTGCCCTAATATTTTACTACCACTTGCAATGTGGCTCTTCGGCAGAAAAATTCTTCAACCCAATGAGATAACATGTAAATCATAACTGGCACATATTTATAAAACTTAGGCTGGAGACAACTGGATAAAGTTCATTTGTCAAACATTGCAAGGCCAGTGGGCAAAGGAAAATGCCCTTGGAATCCATGAAGAGGCTTCCCTGGATTATGATTAGGGCATATTGGACACTTTGTATAAACTGTATGAGTTATGGGCAAGGGCTTCCAGCAGTACTGTTTTCCCCAAGCAATCATTTTCTCAGGTCCCCAATGTCTGAGCTGCAGCAGAGGAAATTTAAAGTCCCTTAAGCAAAATAAGTCTGTCATTTGGTCCAAACCCTAAGTTACAAGCTGGGGAGAAGGACCCATTGGGTTAGCTATGTCAGCTTTCCGCTGACGCTCCTCCTGGAGCTGCTCAGAGCTCCTTTTTTGATAGAGCTTGTCTTAAACACGGTCACCTTTATAGTTTCATTCCATGTTGTTCCAGCCTGTTTGGCTGCTGCATAAACAAAACAATTTCTTTCATTCTCCAGAGTCAAATTTAAAATGTCCAGGAATCTTAATAATAGACTTTGGGGTGTGTTGATGTTGGGGGATAATTTGATGGTTTCTAGGAGATCAGAAACCTGACAGCCATGTTTGATGATTTGTCCGGAGGAGGTTAAAGATCTTTACTGCTTCCATTATATTCCAAAGTCATGAGCTACACCAACAGTGTAATGGCTGTCAGTATAAATATTAGCAATTTCATTTTTGGTGAATCGAAATGCTCTGGTGAGCACCGTTTACTCAGCTAATTGTGCTGATTTTACTTTAGGTAAGGGATTGCTCTCTATGATGTACAACGGCACAGCCGGCCGGGTATTTCCCAAACTCATTCCGTAGGTATGATCCCCCAGTGAACTAGAAATCATCAGCATTTTCCAGGGGTGGCTCCTGTAAATTTGGTCTGTTAGTAAAACAGTCAAGGAGTATCTCATTAGTTGCTTCAGGAAGTAACACTGCAGGATTAAGAGTTTTACAGAGAAAGGGGGCAACATGTGAAACAGAATAAAAGCATTTTGTAAGAAGCCAATCTATTAACAGAGAAATGCAGAAAATTATGTGATTTTGAAAGAGCTTCTACAGAGTAGGTCTAAGTATAATCAAGGGAGCATCCATCACAATTCTGGAGTGGCCAAAGATGGTACCAGCTGAAATGGCCCTCACACAAGAGGCCAGCTTGTGTGCAAGTTTAATCACTGAATATAATAACCAAACAGGTCTACTCTGTTCTCCACATTTTAGGGTTAGAACACCTGGGTGCTGCCATGGCTTTCATTAACAAGAAGGAAAACTTGCAGCTGATGCTCTGGATGACCCAAACCAGGGCTCTCCTAAGATTTTCTTTCACTTCTTAAGTAGATATTTGTCCTTCCAATGGAAGGAGTCAGGTTGATATTCCTTCAATATCAATTATAAAAGCAGCACCATGAGAGAATAACTAGGGATCCAGCTATGGCAGTAGCCATAAACTCTAGATATCCTCTTAACTATGTTGTAGTATTTACTTATTTTTAAGTTTTGTTTTTGAGACAGTCGTCTCCCTTTGTTACCCTCGGTAGAGTGCTGTAGCATCACAGCTCACAGCAACCTCAAACTCTTGGCTCAAGCAATTCCCTTGCCTTAGTCTCACAAGTAGCTGGGACTACAAGCACCCAGCACAACACCTGGCTATTTTGTTGTTGTTGCTGCAGTTGTCATTGTTTTAGCTGGCCTGGGCCGGGTTTAAACCCCCTAGCCTCAGTGTATGCGGCCGGCACCCTACCCACTGAGCTATCGGAGCTGCCGGTTTTATTTACCTTTTTGAGACGGGTCTCACTCTTGCTCAGGCTCTAGCAAAGTGGTGTTATAACTCACTGCAACCTCAAATTCCTGGGCTCCAGCAATTTTCTTGCCTGTCTTCCATGTAGCTGGGTCTACAACCTCACACCATCACACTGGCTAATTTTTCCTATTTTTTTGGTAGAGATGAGAGCCTCACTCTTGTTTAGGCTGTTCTTGAACTCCTGGCCTCAAGTAATCCTCCTGCCTCAGCCACCCAAAGTGCTAGGATTACAGATGTGAACTACTGCACCTGGCCAAATTTACTGTATGTTTTTCCCCCCAAAAATTAGATATTATTGTTTTACACTTTCAGTCTTTTTTTTTTTTTAATTCAGTCTCCATAGAGACTGTCAAAAATTGCCACTGCCAACTGTATTTCAAGTCATCGTGGCAGGGTATTGGAAAAAGTTTTCAATTAGCAATCATGCCTCAGATAAACCTCATTGGCTAAAATACTGCCACTGCACAAAGCTACTTTCAGTATTTCTTTAGATTACAGGGCTTCCTATTTACTTTACTCATCATGACGTCTTTTTTGAGATAGTCTCACTATGTCCCCCTGGGTAGAGTACTGTGGCGTCACACCTCAAGCAACCTCAAACTCTGGGCTTAAGTGATTCTCTTGCCTCAGCCTCCCAAGTAGCTGGGACTACAGGTCATCATTACTTCTTATATCTGACTTTCTTTCTGGGATAATTTTCTCCCCAGAAGTATGTATTTTTTTTAGAAGTTCCTTAGAGAAGCAATTTCAGTGGTAAAATCTATTTTTAGTCATTTGAAAATTTATTTCACCCTCATTCTTCAATAATGCATAAATAACAGTTTGCATCAAAAACTTTTTGAATAATCATAGTTAAAAACTGAAAACTATATGTTCAAAGCCAGTGATACGTGAGCACTATCTTAATTCTGGATGGCATTTATTAAATCTATATCTGAGCTACCTTCCATTTGCATTTTTTATCAGTCTTGCAATGACCCTAAAAAGAAAACTATTTTATGATCTTCATTTTTTTTCTGCAGTTAAGATAAATAAATGGGATAAATATTCAAAAATTGGTAGTCACTCATTTCCATTATTCTTTTGGTTCTATCCAGCATCCCTGGTACCTGCTATCTATGTCACTTACGATGTGCCATTTTAATCTTTTTTTTTTTTTTTTTTTTTGAGGCAGTCTTACTTTGTTGCCCTCGGTAGACTGCTGTGGTGTCACAACTCATAGCACCTCCAACTCTTGGTTTGATTCTCTTGCCTCAGCCTCCTGAGTAGCTGGGACTATAGGTGCCTGCTACAACGCCTGGCTTTTTTGTTGCAGTTTGACAGGGGCTGGGTTTGAACCTGCCACCCTCGGTATATGATGCCGGAGCCCTACCCACTGAGCCACAGGTGCTGCCCCTCTTTCTCTTTAAGGGTGATTCTTTTTGCAAGTATTACAATTTCTATAGTGTTCACAAAGTCTCATTAGTATGACTTTTAGTTTAAAAGAATTTTTATTAACCAGTATTCTTAATTCCTTCCAACATGTCAGATAACAAATCTTTTTAAGATAACTAAGTCTTTGGTCTGACACATTAATATATAATTGATAATTTAAGTTAATATGAAAGTTCATTATTTTTTAATCATGTTCCTAAAGAGTAAGCTATAAATCTGTGAATAACAGTCCATTAAATTAACACTTCATTTATACAAAGGAGAAATGGAAAATCCTATCATATTCAAGCACAGAATTCCACTAAGAACTGTTGAGTTTTTTCATATACACGTCCCCACCACTTCACCAAACTACAGAACTTGAGAGGGAAGGTAATCAATATTCATATCTTTTCTCAATAGCAGAAAGGGGCTCAGCGCCTGTAGCTCAGCGGCTAGAGCGCCTGCCACATACACTGGAGCTGGCAGCTTTGAACCCAGCCCAGGCCTGCCAAACAATGACAACTACAGCCAAATATTTAAACTTGTATTAAAGGCAAACTATTACTTAGTGAGATCACATGGGCACGTGCGTGTGAATGGTAGAAATCTGCTCCAGTATAACTGATTGCCACTAGAGTGCCGTTGTTTTTAATTCTGTAGTGGAGCTGAAGAGCAATACTGCAGGAGCGCCGTTAGCCTGGTGACTTTCTACTGCCTGTTGAGTTTAATTCCTCCTATTCCTCCTCACCCCTCGAAAAAAGCAGTCCCTAGACAAGGATTTCTTGCTTATGAGAGAAATAATCCCAGGAGAACCCCTCACAGAATGGGAAGTGAGAGATGGAGGACCAATGAACCATGTGCTAATGAACAGATTAGTGCTATTAGCAGCTAGGAATTCATCCTACTGGGTTCACTCTGAGAAATCCCAGTGTCCTTTCACTGAGGGATGAGGAAACAAAGGTGTTTATACACTATGCAGCCATAAAGAAAGATGGAGACTTTACATCCTTCATGTTTACATGGATGGAGCTGGAAAATGTTCTTCTTAGCAAAGTATTACAAGAATGGAAAAAAAAGTATCCAATGTACACAGCCCTACTATGAAACTAATTTACAGCTTTAATATGAAAGCTATAATCTAATTATAGCCTAAGAATATGGGGATGGGGAGGGGGGAGGGTGAATGTAGGGATCACTTCTATGGTTTATCTTACAAGGGTACAAGTGAATCTTTCTAAGAGTAGAATATAAACGTCTTAACACAATAACTAAGAAAATGACATAAAGGCTATGTTAACCAGTTTGATAAAAGTATTTCAAATTGTATATGAAAGCATCACACTGTACCCCATGATTGCATTAATGTACACAGCTATCATTTAATAATAATAAAAAAAGGTGTTTATACACCAATTCCTGCTCCTCATTGGTCAGGGAGTACCCAGCCAGCAGCCCAAGCAGCCCAAGCAGCCCAAGCAGCCCAAGCAGCCCCACCAGGCTCTGGCATCTCCAGAAGACATCCTCAGAAGCCCTGGATTTCCAGAAACTAGAGGTGAACCAGAGTAGGTCCAAGCCATAGGGATAGGGCACAGATAAGATAAATCTCTGCTCTGCCGACCTCATGAAGAATATTATCGTCAATCTTAGTCTTTTAGCAGGATTATTTTTAAATCCTTAAAAACACCATTGTTAGGTAAGTGAATTTACAGTTAAATAGTTCTAACTGAATAGGTAACATGTAAATGAAGACACCAGTAAGAACACTATAGGTTGTCCCAAAAGTTGCCCCTAAAGTCACCATACATAGGAAAAGTTGAAAATTGTAGCTAAATGTAACTTTAACTTAAATTTAAGTAAATGTACTTTTTGTAATAGTCATTACAAAATTTTACAAAGAGGTGGCCAACATGTGGAGTTTTTTTTTTTTTTTTTAGAGACAGAGTCTCACTTTGTCACCATTGGTAGAGTGCCATGGCATCACAGCTCACAGCAATCTCCAGCTCTTGGACTTAGGCAATTCTCTTGCCTCAGCCTCCTGAGTTGCTGGGACTACAGGCGCCCACCACAATAAGTGGCTATTTTTTTTGTTTTTGCAGTTTGGCTGGGGCCGGGTTTAAACCCACCACCCTCAGTATATGGGGCCAGCACCCTACTCACTGAGCCACAGGCGCCACCCTGCAGAGAATATTTTGTACAATTTTGTAATGGACATTTTGTAAATAAGGTACATTTAGTTATAATTTTCCATTTTCCTGGGGTATGATGACTTTAGGGACAGCTTGTACTATAAATCCCTTCTACTTTCAAAACAAAGTAACTCAGATACATAAGTGACATAAATTTGTGACATATAGATTCAAGGGTACTGTTGGGGTCAATCTGACTATAAAATATTAAAATAATTTAATCCTTCCCTGTATTAAAGTATATAAATAGAATTCCTAAAACTTCCTTTCTCTACTACAACCATTACCCTGTATACCCCTTAAGGTGCATGCCCCCCATCCTCCCTACCACTACCCAGGTCTCAGCTAGAAATGATTTAGTTCATGTCAAGGTATGTCTGAACATTCTAAATAGGTAAGAAAATAGTAGCAACATACAGTTCTAGGACAGTTTCAGCATCTATCTAGCATGGGGGGGGGAGGAACATTTCAAAACAAACTTCACGGAGTTCTTTGTATCTTATTTCTCTGCATTTTAAAAATTATACAGAAACTTGACCATGATGCAACCCCATCTTGAAATTCAGTGTAACTCAGATCAAAGTGCTCTGCATTCTACAGTTTTTGGTGTGAAAGACTGATGAGTAGGTAGATCCTTGTTTTCAGCCCTTGGGATACAGAAAAACAGCTCTACAGAAATTTTAAAAATTCCCAGGAATTACATAAGAGATTAGAAATGCATTTACACTTTCCTAAACAAATACTTGCCTGAATTCCCAAAATATGACAAAGTTATGAAAGTGTAGTTTATTTAGGTTGATATATGTGTATATTACTTAGGTTTTTAAAAGTTTAATGCAAAGTTTAATTGTGAATATCACTTTATCTTCCACAGGCTAGAAACAAAACAGTGCTAGTTGGTGACGTGCTAGTTTAAGAAATCCATTCTATACAGAAATGCTGTTGTTTTCCTAGAGTTTAAAACTTTATAATCAAATCACTTTAAAGAAACCTTTTTAAGATTAGCATAATATCTTGCAAAAGACTATTTTATGATGTATATCAACAAAACTCAACCCCACTCTCTCCAATAATAAAAGAGTGTTTTTCTAAATTGTTACTTTTTAAACGACGTGAAACCACTGAAAATTGGTTGCTGCTGTTAGAGTCATCTTGTTTGGAGAAAAATATTCTGTGCTTTACCACTTGCTGCCATGCCTTACAGAGGTAGGGTCTGTAGTCTATATCCATATCACATGGGCGTTTAAAGGCAGAAGGCCCTTCTGGTGAGTTAGAGGTTTTCTGCATTAAAGTTTGTGTTGTTGCAACAAGAACCAAGCGATACTCATTTACAAGTTTCTCTAAGAATTGAGAACATTTCTTTAGAGTAGACTCCTGTAAGTTAACACTCTCTCCTCCATTGACACGGTCTATCCAGTAGAAGGCTGATAGGCTATCCACAATCAAAAGGCAGAGAGAGGGGTGACTACAAAACAAGGTTTCTAGTGAATAAAGTGTAAGAAGTAAGTGTGTGCTACTATTGCAGTATGCCAAAAAAAATCTTCCAAGGCAGCATTTTATGACTTCTTCAGAGCTTTCGGACAGTCTATGTTCAAGGACTGTGACAAGACGAAGCATATCAAAATGGTGATCTGTGTCAATGAAGGAGACTTCTGCTTCCAGCCCACCTTCTGACTTTGGAAGTATACATCGTGCTGTTAAATGGTAAAGCATTTCTGTTTTTCCTGTTCCTTCTGGACCATGAAATTCAACAATATGACCTGCATAAAATTTAAAAATGTCAGTCAAAATGCAGCAGCTCAATAGAATGAAAAGTCTACAGAAATGTTTAAGAAAACATTTACTGGAATGTGAAAAAAATACTTAAATCCATTTGCCAAAGTAAATCTGTGTAAGTAAACAGAGATATATAAGGAAATGAAAAGTAAATCATTATATTTCACCTCTGAGAAAGGAGCTGTTAATTAGCATGAAGAAATTATTTTAAAACAGAGTGGTACGGCTGAAAGGAACCTAGGGGATCTATCCTGTCCAGAAAGATCCACAGGTGATGTCAGACATTTAATACAGTGCCACAGATCCAGGACTTGTCAAAGTGCTACTGATTACTGTGGTATATACCATGTCTGATAACTGATTACGTCATATCCATCTCCTCCTTTTCATAGAGAGTGAGAGGGTACCAGGTAACAAATACAGTTGTAGCCAATAAGAGGCAAGCTGATGTCTGGTGTGGATTGCTAGGTTTTGCTTTCCTATGTAGGGGCCACTTCTGCCCTGCTGCTTTGTTTTCTAGAGGCAAAGCAGGCATCTAGAAACAGTGATGTGAAAGGTATACCCCAGGGATAGTGAAGTACGAAGACACAGTGCCCAGGACTTGAATAACAATGTGCAACTTCATACCAGCTATGTACAGCCTACCACAGGATGTGAGGGAAACAGCCTTTACCTGGGTAAGCGCCTAAAGTTGGACTTATATTACATGCAATTGAAAAAAAATCCCTAATTAAGATTTCTCAATGTTATTGAAATTATGGGTGGAATAAGTCTTGATTTTGTAATTTCACACTTTATAGATGGTCTTTAAGAGCCCATGGCTCTCAGGCCCTAAAAGCCAGTATTATCCTTCAACTGAAAACATCCTTATACATTCCCGAACTACCTTAAGTTACTCTTTACTATTTGAATATCTCTTGAAACAGTCCAGATGCATTATAAATTATATTCCTAGCATTAAAAATCAAAGCCAACTACTCTAAACTTCCCTGTTCCTCTCAACAGCCTTGCCTGGTTAGAACGACTAATCTGAACTTTAAAGACTCCAAATCTCTTTCTATATAGGTTCTAGCAACTCTCTTTAACTGACGATAGCAGGGCAGCGCCCGTGGCTCAGTGAGTAGGGCAATGGCCCCAAATACCAAGGGTGGCAGGTTCGAACCTGGCCCCAGCCAAACTGCAACAAAAAAAAAATAGCTGGGTGTTGTGGCGGGCACCTGTAGTCCCAGCTACTCGAGAGGCTGAGGCAGGATAGTCGACTAGGCCCAGAAGTTGGAGATTGCTGTAAGCTGTGATGCCACCACACTCTACAGAGGGCGATAAAGTGAGACTCTGTCTCTAAATAAATAAATAAATAAATAAAAGTTATTCCAGCCTTAAAGAATGAAATTATTTTCATATTAACAACTGTTCAGCCAGGTGTGATGGCTCACATCTTTAATCCTAGCACTTTGGGAGGCTGAGGCAGGTGGATAGCTTGAGGTCATGCATTCCAGACCAGCCTGAGCAAAAGCGAGACCCCATCTCTACTAAAAATAGAAACAAAACAAAACAAAAACTGAGGCAAAAGGATTACTTGAGCCCAAGAGTTTGAGGTTGCTGTGAACTCCGATACCATGGCATTCTACCCAGGGTGACAGCTTGAGACTGTTTCAAAAAAGAAACAAAAAACTGTTCAACATTTTTATTAAAAGTTAACACAGCATCCAAACCTATATTCCACCCTGATTTTCAGTTTACCCTCTCCTATTACATTAAATATTACTGAGGAAATAAGCTAACCCCTCCCCCCAATTAAGTCTTTTACCACCCTAAGTTATAGGAACAGAATAAACTACATGTGCTGGGTGAAGAAGGTAGGTTAACACAGAACCAGTATTAATGGTAGTAAAGTTGAAAGCAGTTTAGAAAGATTAATCTGAAGGTGGTCTGTAGGACACAATGGACCACCCAGAAGCACCAGCTGGGAAAACCAATAAGCAGACTGGAGATCCTCCTTCTCCTCTCCCCAGAAAGTAGCCAGAAAAGACTGATCAGCAGCAACTAACCATAACAGAGTACTTGACACTTTAAAAGAACTTTCTTCATACAATCTTAGTTGATCCTAATAACACTCTGAGGTAGAAAAAGCAAACTCCATCATCCCCTACAAACACATTTATCACACTACAAAAAATCACCGACTATTTACTTGATATTTCCTATTAGCTTCTTTAAAGTGGGACTTAAATACTCTATCCCCAGCACAAAACACAGTATCTTTTGAATGTAATTCATCACACTACATTCTTCTTCTTCTTCTTTTTTTTTTTTAAACACAGAGCCTTAAGCTGTTGCCCTGGGTAGAGTACTGTGGCATCACAACTCACAACAACCTCCAACTCCTGGGCTTAAGCAATTCTCTTGCCTCAGCCTCCCAAGTAGCTGGGACTACAGGTGCCAGCCATAACGCCTGGCTATATTTTGGTTGCGGTTATCATTGCTGTTGGTAGGCCTGGGCTGGATTCGAACCCGCCAGCTCGGGTGTATGTGACTGGCACATTAGCCACTTGAGCTATAGGTGCGGAGCCCTTCCTTTTTTTTTTTTTTAACATTATTTTCTTCTTAAGATCCTCTTGAGAGCCAACTTAAGAATGAAAAATGTCTTGATTGATGAGGATTAAAGGCCTGAAATTAATCTTGGAACATGGTATTTTGAAAGGAAGATCTGGTAAGGAGTAATAAGTGTGGGTGCAGTGGGGAGCAGGAGATGGTGGCTTTGGCTAGCAGAGTCCAGCAGGTGTGAAGGCCCTAACCAAGGCATGGCACAGGGGCCAACATAGCAGGTGAAGTGAGAGCTGTGTGCCTACCTCCAGGGACTAAGCGGGGCTTGGTCATAGTTTTGTGAGGTGTTCAGTCCTAAGGGTAAACCTAATGTAGTGATTTAAATCAGAAGTAGGCTTGGAAATATCTGTACAAATCAAATACATACACAAAGTAGGAGTTTTTAATTCACATGGTGTACATGATAAGAATTTAGCCTTTAAAACTAATATTAAAACTGATATTAAAACTTTAATATCAGTAGATATTCTGATGTATCTCTAGGTGTCATGAAAAATAGCCTACAGCTGGTTCATGAGAATAAGGGGTTAGATATAGGGATCTGCAGGGTGGCACCTGTGGCTCAGTGGGTAGGGTGCCGGCCCCATATACCAAGGGTGGCAGGTTCAAACCGAGCCCTGGCCAAACTGCAACAAAAACATAGCTGGGTGTTCCGGCAGGTGCCTGTAGTCCCAGCTACTTGGGAGGCTGAGGCAAGAGAATAGCCTAAGCCCAAGAGCTGGAGGTTGGCTGTGAGTTGTGGACACCACGGTACTCTACCAAGCGCGACGGAGTAGGACTCTATCTCTAAAAAAAAGAAAGAAAGAAAAAAGAAAATCAAGAGAAAAACATTATAGGGCACAAAAGATTTCACAAAATATTAAATAATTATAATAATTAATAACTAAATAATTGTATTATTAAATAATAATAAATGTACCAGAAAAAATGGCAAGGAAAAGGTAGGGGAAAATCCCTGAAATGGCCCAAAATAGTAACCTTAAAACAGCAAACATGTCATTTGCAAGAGCACATTTAACATTATTTTGTGAGTCAAACTTCAAAAACTGAAATATTTGGAAGACAAAGTAAAAAAGGTACCATAGGGGACATTCACTACTTTTATTATTATTATTATTTAGAGACAGAGTCTCACTTTATTGCCCTCAGTAGAGTGCAGTTGTATCACAGCTCACAGCAACCTCCAACTCCTGGTCTTAGATGATTCTCTTGCCTCAGACTCCCGAGTAGCTGGGACTACAGGCACCTGCCACAATACCTGGCTATTTTTTTGTTGCAGTTTGGCAGGGACCAGGTTTGAACCCGCTACCCTCAGTATATGAGGTCAGTGCCCTACACACTGAGCCACAGGCGCCACCCTAGTTTTTTTTTTTTCTCTTAGAGATGGGGTCTCGTTCTTGCTCAGACTGGTCTCAAACCCATGAGTTCAGGCAATCCACCTGCCTCGGCCTCCCACAGTGCTAGGATTACAGGCATGAGCCACTGCATCCGGCCTTCATGGACTACTATTAGAGGAGCAACCATGATGGAAATCAGACTGCAGAAAGTTAGGGAATACATGAGCAATTAGAAAATGGACTGTAGGCTCGGCTCCTATAGCTCAACCGGCTAAGGCACCAGCCATGTACACCTAAGGTGGCAGGTTCGAATCCCCAGCCCGGACCCGCCAAAACAACAATGACGGCTGCAACCAAAAAATAGCCGGGCGTTGTGGCGAGCACCTGTGGTCCCAGCTACTTGGGAGGCGGAGGCAGGAGACTCGCTTGAGCCCAGGAGTTGGAGGTTGCTGTGAGCTGTAATGCCACGGCACTCTACCCAGGGGGACAGCTTGAGGCTCTGTCTCAAAAAAAAAAAAAAAAGAAAAAAGAAAATGGACTGTATGCCTTACATTCATTATTTTAAAAGTAAAAAACTTCAATTGTTTCATAAGACAGAAGGGTCAAATGATAATTTAAGGCAAAGAAATGTAACAAATTCTGTGGTGCAAAGGGACTCCATAGGGAAAGAGAGATAGAAGATACTGGTCAGGAGGTAACTGTGAGATATCTCCAGGTATCTCTGGATAATTCTGGAATTTCCAGAATAAGAAAATAATGAAGTTTGCCAAGTATTTTCTGGGAGAGAGGAGTGATAAGCATAAACATCATTCATCATAACACAGAAGACTAAGTTTTGAAAGCATTTACCTACATGATTTAACAAGTGTTTCTGAGTCCACCTGTGAGAAACCTGTACATTAACTAAGTAAGGTAAGTATCCTTACTGAGATGCCTTGTTTGGCACAAATAAAACTGAGGCAAAGTAGTTTAAGGCTAAATTCCTAGTTAAGAGATCAATGGGCTGGCTCGGCACCTGTAGCTCAGCAGCTAGGGTTCCAACC